GCCTTCTTTGGAAACTCTTGCTTCGGGATATTCTTCAAAAGACAGCCAGGTGGATGGGTAGTTCCAGCTGGGGTCTGAAGAGGTTAATTTAGAGGGGACCAAGTGCTCCTCATAGAGACTGTGTTTCTGATCCGTGAAGAGACTGTTGCCACTCTGGAGGGAGTAGAAAGTCCAGGATTCTACATTTTTGTGCAGTTTGTCCCCCGAGTTTCTGTTCAAGTGAAGTTGGGCATCCCATATACCCCTAGACCCTATCCAAGTTATTTATCCCAAATAAAACAAAAACAAGCACATGGACTGATTACTGACTCTGAATGTAAGTTTTAAAATGCGTGTTGCCTGGGTGTCAGGAAAATAGTGGAACCTAAAATCAGTGGCTCTAAAGGGGGTAGTGCTACACCTGTTTGGGTGGCAACTCAAAATTTTGGACTTGCCTTCTCTCTCTCTTTTATCTTTTTTTTTTTTCTCACTTTTATTTTCTTTTCAATAATATTGGTGATCACAACAATTAGAGAGAATGAATCTCTCTAACAAGGACACAAACGGCAAGAAAATCCTAGCAGAGGTAAAATTACCTCACCAAATCTAAAAAAGTGTTTGGGTTATTAGGATCTCCAGTAATGTCCTATAACTAGCACTGATGTATCTCAGCATATGTACAGTGTGTGTGTCCTGTTATGTATGAAAATATGGCATGGACTAAGGTAGAGAAGGGTACCCACCTTATGAAGAGTTTGTAAGCTTGAATGGAAATTCAAAACAGAGCAAATACTGTAAGAGGTCTGCACAGTTCAGAGAAAATATAAAGCAATGTTAAATAAATTCTCTTATGGCCATAAATGACTGTTTCCTTCAGTCAGTAAGATATGCATCCCTCCTAAAGCAACAGATTCAGATCTATATGCACGCATCACAAATAAATTAGTATAGTCACTGATAGAAGTCCCAAGACTGCTCTAACTGCTGATGAGAAAAGGTATTTAGCAGTTTATATTAACTAAAACAATTGCATTTCCATGTTCTGTGTACTGTGGGAGAACGGGTATAGTGAATTCAGGGTCCTAGGTTTAGTAACACTTTAAGGGCAGGGCAAAGTACCAGTCCCTGGTCGCCTTGATAGTTTTTCAAATTAGGGCCCAGCAACAACTAAATACTGACCCCCCCCCCCCCCCCTTCAGCCATTTAAACTTGTCATCTCTTAGATCCCTACCACTCTTTGGGGGCTGTCACGGGGCGAAGGCTTGGCACACACCTATGCAGTTTGCTTTTGATCCATTTCTGCAATAGTTTTTACAGTGCATTATTGCGCACACATTTTTTAATGCTTTTTTTTTTGCATTTTTAATGCCTTTTTTTGCTCAATTTGTTGTCGGACTAAAATCTGCAAACCGCGCCAAACGCGAACTACATGCTTTTCCCCAGCATCACCATTGAAGTCTATTGAACCAAAAAGCACTGTATTGCATTTAAAAAAGTTCATGACCCTTTCCAAAAATGCAGCAGCTGAAAAAAGCATAGGTGTGAATGTGTCCCATAGAAAACATGTTAAACAACTTTAGTGCGTTTCTGCAAAAAACACCAAAAAAAGCATATGTGTGAACCATGCCTAATGCAGGCCATACATGGCACTACTTCTCCAATTTTCTTTAGGAAATCAGAAATTTTCTGTGTTTTGTAATGGTGCCACCAGTGATTTAGAAATTTAACCACCCAAGCCTTCAATTTCACCTCATGTTGCTACAGAAAAGTATCTTCTTTTCTTTCCAGGTGCTCATGCTCATGTCTTTCAGTTACACTTCTCTCATGATTTTCCTATCATTGATTAGAAATTCGTTTGTTTTTCAAAAGATTTCCATCATGCCCGATTACTCAAATTCAATGGGTACATGAAAATTGGCTGTGTCCCACTAATGATGCAAAATTTGATTGAAAAGTCTTAGTTACGGTTTTTGAAAGAAAATTCTTTCAGAATTCGACCCATGTATGGCCTGCATTAGGAAGGACTTTCTTCTCAATCCTATGTGAGAGTGTTGTCGCCCAATATTGAGCTAATTAGGTACACAGCTGTGCATTGTTGGAGGAGCGATAGTAAGTATAGTTGCTATACATACTATAAGTACTGGTATTTTTCTTTGCTTTAGGTGGCTAAATAGAGCAAGAAAAGTAAGTCAATGCAGGGGAAAGGGGGGAGCTGGGATTTGGGTGAACTCATTTCTGAGATTCATTTGCCAAATAAGCATTGTCATAGGAGCATTATTCCCTTTCTGCTTCATCAGCCCACTCTTGGTTTCATCCAGTCCTATGGCCAACATTGCAATGTATAATTGCATATATCAGTGTCAATTCTTTGTATTTACATTTGTTGGTATAACAGAAAAAATGGACCCAGGGTATAGGATTCCCTTCTCCAGGCGTCTATAAAGCAGAGCTTCATCATATTCCTCTGCAGTGTTAAGTATGACCTATAAGTGTTGATTAACTCAGCTAAATGAAGATGTAAATCAGCATAAGTTATGCATGACAACTCTTGCTTTCATTATAATTTACATAAAAAGTTTATATTTAGAACATATAATCTTGGAAAATTGCACTTGTCTGGACTTGTATAACCAATCCATCAGATAAAATATTCTTTCATCCGTCATTATTCATATACGTTCATGGTTCCCTGACTTAGGAACAGAAAGAAGAAAAGGTCTCAGTTAAGTGACCCAAGACATCCGTGTGTTTACTATTTGACAGCACCGCTGCAATTCTGATTGTTGTGTGAAAAACGTACAGGTGTATTATGTAAAAGCAGTAAAACAGCAATGCATTTGCATTACTTAAAAATAGCTGTCTCTGTCTCTGGGGCATACAGTAGTAATATCCCCAGCAGTTCTCTTATTGCAGTTCATGATATTCAACACAAGTAAGACAAATGTGCAAGTTTTTTGAGCTTAATATTTTTCTTTTAAAGGATAAGTTAACCTTTTGAAAAAAATAAAATAAATAAACACATTTTTTGCAGGTAAAAAATGTGCATTTATAATTTGAAGACTCTTAGCATAGCTGTGTGCCCATACCTCACACGGGCAGACAGTTACCTGAGAGCAGGAAGATCAATGAACTACTAGAGTGCACCAGTGCCCTTCCAGTTCATTGAGAACTGCAAACCGTCAGCTTCAAAGGCTGACAGTACTTGTAGGCATTCATTCAAAGGAAATGATGAATGAATAATGTGGGTGGGGCCCCACAGCAGGCGCTGGCGTCATAGGAAGGGGGAATCGGGGAGAGAGGCTGCTGATGCTGAAACATGTTACATGTTCCACCCTAAAAATGGAATATGTAACATGTTCCAAAGGTTAACTTATCATTTTAAATAAACAAATATTCCAATGTACACTGATATAATGTCAATTCTGACAGTGAATGTTTTTCAATGCAAGAATGAATCTGTGATAAATAATTTTATTATATAATTGTAGAGCAATATTGGCTATCAAGTTGCACAAAAAAGCAAAAATTTGATTTTCAAGTGAGCTTCTAAAAGAAAATTAACATATTACGGCAGTATGAAAAAAGTGAGTGAGATGGGTTGTTATGAGCAACAAGAACACTTTTTCAATCAGACAGTTTGATAAATGTTGCAAGACATTCCTGAAAAGGTACACTTACTATTATGGATATATAGCAGCATATAGGAGGGGCCAACTGGATGCAGGAGTATCATAATTTGCCACCAGCACCATTGGCAAACTCCAGGCCTCCATCAGGCTAGAGAGAACCAACGCTACCATAAAGAGCAACATTACAAACAGTCCTCTTGGGCAAATTACACACACAGACCCTGAAGCTGTTGGGTCTCAGGCACAAGGAAACATCCCCCACCTGGCTTAGCCAAGTAGATACTCACTCTACCAGGTATAGGCCACAGACAAAGTGAATAAGAAGAATATTCTTGCTCTTCTTTACTGAAGTGCAATATTCACAAGGCAATATCCATTGTGGAACAGTGGTAGCCAACTCCTGCCCACTTATGGGGAGTCCTTGCTGTTCCCAGGCATAGCCCATTATAGAGATGGTTTCTACGGCATTCCTCAACCAGGGAAGGCTGTAATCTGTAACCAAAGCGCAGAACACCCCAGGCATTCCCATGGTGGTCAAAACAGGAACACTTCTCACTTTTCCAACCAACCCATTAATCTGAACCACCTCTAACAGGAACTGTGCCTCACCCAAAATACTAAGGAGAAGCAAAAGATGAAAACCCCTGTTTACTGCCTAACACCCCCTTATGTCCCCATCCCCCGCAATTTTCTGTGGCATGCTTTTGTACCAACTAAAATGGGAAAAAGCTGGAACAACTCAGGACAAATGATTACAAAACAAAAACGGGTTACACATAATCATGTTAAGCATATTCCATACATATTTCAAGGCACATACACTATATTGACAAAAGTATTGGGACACCCAGGGGCGTACTGACAACTCATGGGCCCCCAGGCAATAGGGGATCATGGGGCCCCTGTGTCCTTGCCAAACTCAAAAAAGCCTATGAAAAAGGTACCAGGGGTATCTTATGGGGCCTCCTACTGACCCCGGGCCCTCGGGCAGTGCCCAAGTTTCCAAATGGTCAGTCCGCCCCTGAGGACACCCCTCCAAATCTTTGAAATCAGGTGTTCCAATCACCTCTATGGTCACATGTGTATAAAATCAAGCACCTAGACATGCATACTGCTTCTACAAACATTTGTGAAAGAATGGGTCACTCTCAGGAGCTCAGTGAATTCAAGCATGGTACCGTTATAGGTTGCCACCTGTGCAATAAGTCCATCTGCGAAATTTCCTTGCTATTAAATATTCCATGGTCAACAGTTAGTGGTATTATAACAGAGTGGAAGCAACTGGGAACAACAGCAACTCAGCCACGAAGTGGTAGGCCACATAAAATGACAGAGCGGGGTCAGTGCATGCTGAAGCCCACAGTGCGCAGAAGTTGACAATTGTCTGCAGAGTCAATAGCTAAAGACCTCAAAACTCCATGTGGCCTTCAGATTAGCATAGCAACAGTGTTTAGAGAGCTTAATGGAAAGGGTTTCCATGGCTGAGCAGCTGCATCCAAGCCTTACATCAACAACTGCAATTCAAAGTGTCAGATGCAGTGGTGTAAAGCATGCCACCACTGGACTCTAGAGCAGTGGAGAAGTGTTCTCTGCAGTGACAAATCTTGCTTCTCTGTCTGAGTTTGGTGGTTGCCAGGAGAAAAGTAAAGTACTTGCCTGACTGCATTGTTCCAAGTTGTAAAGTTTGATTTTGGTTTGCACAGAGTCCTGACCTCAACCCGATAGAGGACCTTTGGGATGAATTAGAATGGAGACTGTGAGCCAGGCCTTCTCATCCAACATCAGTGCCTGACCTCACAATGCGCTTCTGGAAGAATGGTAAAACATTCCTATAGACACACTCTTAAACCTTGTGGACAGCCTTCCCAGAAGAGTTGAAGCTGTTACAGCTGCAAAGGGTAGGACAACTCAATAGTGAACCCTACAGACTAGGACTGAACTGCCATTAAAGTTCATGTGTGTGTAAAGGCAGGCATCCAAATACATTTGGCAATATAGTTTTGTTTCATTCATGTGGGATGAATAAAAATAGTCAAACAGATCTCCCCATCAACGCTATACAGCACAGTTGGACATATCTCCTGCTGCAGCTATGGTATTCTGACATCCATGGCTGGCACCTGGCAGAATACTAGTACAGCAGCTGCGACTAATTAGATGCAGCCAGTGTTTGACCAACAATTTTCTGCCCAATTTTTCAATCAATCAAATGGGAGGCGGCCAATAGGGCCACTCATGTAGCATAATTCGGCCTTTTGCTCAGGAACCAGATTAAATTCATATAGTGTGTAAGCAGCCTTGGTCAAGTCCATCTAAATTTGCTAGTGCATCTAACACAACCCTCTCCCCACAATGACAATGCTGCTGTTCAAATGGTGTCTTTCCTGCTCCTCCATCCAAATTGGAGACACCCTAAGACAGGAAGTATGTTACTGGCTAGATCGATAGGTGAAAATATAGAAAAAAAAGCCCTAGAAAATTAATGCAATCACCCCATCTAAGGAATGGTAAGCTGCAATATATACATTATTTAGGGAAGTTAATGTAGCAACCTGTTAGGCTTTGGCACCATGGATTCCTGGCTCCATAAAATTAGTACAAGCATAAAGAGGGAGGTTTTTAGTGCAGAAGCAAATATCTGAACCCTATCTATAAAGTAACCCTGAAGTGCTTCTGTTATGGTTTTTAAAGAGAAACAGAACTCTAGAAACTGTGCCCAAATAAAAGCAGGACTAGTTGCCAGTATTGCTTGTGGTCTCCCTACTTCTGATCTTTTCCCCATTCCAGACTAGACATGCCTTTATTCTGCACTGTATCTCTGTGTGGAAGCAGCCATATTTGTAGAGGCAGGACATGGCAGAGGCAGGTGCCTTAAGCAGGGAGAAGAGTGAGCATTACAGAAATGACATCAACAAATATCATGCCAAACCACCTGAAAGTAGCACTCAGAGACAGCAGTGCCTTGGATCCCACACTGCAGATATACAGCTATGAGAAACACACACAAGAGGGTGCAGACTCCTCATGTATTACCTTCATAAAATGTAATCAAATGCCAAGATACAAAAACATACTCGTAAACATATGAAAACAGTAGGCATATACAAGAAATACAGCCTTAGAAGGCCCATCCCATATTGGAATCATCTGGCAGGAAAGCTAACGTGTTTTGGGAGCAAGCTCCCTTTTTCAGAGCTGAACCTAACAAATGTCCTGGTTGCCCTTAAATGACCAGGACCACCCGGCACTCCCCTCCAAGCATGGGTCAATGGGTGGGATCAGAGAAGGTCTGCTCCTATGAACCTGGGACTCAGGACACCATAGCATACATAAAACATAAATTATAAAAAACATGATAAATAAAACCATATATAATAGATAATATATCAATTGTATATGTATCTGTACCCAAATGATAACTAAATATATGTATACATATCAAGACAAAAGAGAGGGGCACACCTTATATGGTCTGCAACAATGTGCTGCTTATTGGACAAGATCAATGTGGATTACCACAGGTGTGAGCACAGACCCTTTCACAAGATTCCCGTTTGTACCAATGGCACACACAAAATTCCAACATGAGTAGATATGCACCAACCTTATGTTAGCCCAATGGTTTAGTAATTGTATAAATGGAGACTATAGCCGCAATATGCAAGACAGCATATATTATACACTCTGGGCAGAATCAACAGCCATTATTGTGGATATATTTCTCTCTTTAGATAAGCGCCCTTCACATCTTCTACTAACCACTAATGAAAAGCCTCCCATCATTGCCCCCGGTAAGATAAAACCACCAGCCAAATCTTTGGGTTTAGGCGGAATTTGATCTTCGACCAGAAGGGGAACTACAGGTGTGGAGTTTTTAACTGTAGATACATGAGGCACAGGAAAAAAGGGGGCTACGTGGATTGATGGGAGATCATACCCCATAAAACAGTTCATTAACTGTGGGACCCAGTATGTTGTATATTGTATGATCTGCCCCTGTGGTCTCCTGTATGTGAGTTGCACCTCACCCACTCTCAGAACACATTTTGGGGAACACAAGAGGAAAATTATTCTTTGGTTCAACAAACATTCAGTTCCATGTCATTTCTGAGATAAGCATGGCACGAACCGCAAGGGCTTGAAAGTTTTTTGGGGTTGAAGCCATCTGTGAAGATAGTGATGTTGGCAGAAGATACCAGCTTTTATGTCGATGGGAGACCTTTCGGAGCCATCAGATTGACACCCTGTCACGCGAGGGCCTCATTGAGGGTTTAGATATACATACTCTGGTCGAGAGGAGTCCATACCCGCACTGACCACCACTTGCTTCAAGGCAGTTCTCTCCCCTCAGTTCTCTCCTCTCTTCTGTCCTCTTCTCTCAATGCTCATGCATTCACATGAGGATAGCTTTCCATCTTAGCCATGGAAAACTGCTGTGGTGGCCCTGCCTACCATACACACAGTGTACATGCATTGATGCTACACACTCCTGTACATAGGCCTACAGATGTGCATCCTCACTTACATGTATACACGTTACAGCGACATGACCCATGGGTTAATTTTTATTATCAATATACCTCTTGGCCTTGTATACTATTAGGGGGGGTTGTGTTTTGTTGTCATGTGACGTTACATTAGACCATACCCATTGTTGATTTTAATGCAGTTTATTATTTAATATTGCTATTGAAAGTTTTTCATTGTTTCATTCATACATTTTTTTTTACCAGTCCATGCAGGTCAATGTTTTTTGTACTGTGTTATATATACACATGGGGGACTGATCACTGGTCCCCTGTTGCTTTGGATGGATGCCCATGGGACTCTAGCTTTTTTGTTGCTGAGTGTACTGTGTCAAGTGACAGGGATGTATCAGGTCTTCTCCTCAGCCTATTGCAGGGTTCAACTCTGCATATGGGCGGTGCTTCTCCCCTGTGGCCTGAAGCCCTGCTCCGCCCCTTCCACAGATGCAGTTTTGGTGTCGGTTTTCCAGCGATTGCGTCCCACACATTGCGGACCATGCGGTCCATCCACTAGGCGTGCATTCCAGCGGTCAACGCCCACCACACATTCCCAGAATCCTCTTTATCAAAATGGGAGGCTTTTCATCAGTGGTGAGTGGAAGATATGAGGGGCGCTTATCTAAAGAGAGAAATATAGCACAATATTGTAACATGTTCCCATAGCCACAGCCGTACCTACCGCCTCTCCTTCCTATGACAGATAGTATGGGGAGAGGTTTCCCTGTACTATCTGTCAGATTTGAAAACAGCACAGCCCACAGTGTTCTGTGAATGAGTGCCTACAAGTCCTGACAGCCTCAGTGGCCATGAGCTTGTAGTTTTAATCAACTACCACAGCACTGTGGAGGGCCGTGGTAGTTCATTGAAGCTACCTGTCAGTATATGTGTTTGCTTGTACATCCCATACGTCAAGCAGATATTCTGACAAGTCTGCAGGAGACCTGCATGGCATCAGCAATCTACTGATCGCTGGTGCAATGCTTTCCAGGCTCCATTGGACAAAAATAATAAATGCACATTTTTTTACCTGCAAAAAAATGTGCATTTATTAACTTTGTCCAAAAGGTGAACTTATCCTTTGCGTGTTTTTTCTGCCTAAAAGCTCCTCTCAAAAATCTGACTCTGAATGTTTTTGTTTCAGCATGCTCTAAAAATATGCCTGTAAACTCCCTAATGTGATTGGACGCATAGGCTAAAATAGAGCTTCTTTTACAGGTTGAATAAAAAAAAAACTACAAAATGCCTATATAAGCAGCATATTTTATGGACTTTAAAGGTGCAGTCAAGGCTATTTTTAACGCAGGGCAAAAAGGGCAGCTGCACTGGGCCCAGTTATTATTGTGGGGCCCACAGCAACTGATCCTTGAGCCCCTTGCAATGGAGGTGGCAGGAAGCAGGGCAGCTTAGCTAAATCTGGTACTGACAACGGCATCCTCAGGGTGCAGGCAGAAGGGTGGCCCTGGAGACAGAGGCCGCGGGAAAGACAAGCAGCATGAGGGTGGCTAGGACCGAGAGCCCGGGTGGGAGAAGACCTCCATCGGCTCCCTGTCTGAGGTGAGCAGCAGCGGGAGCTGCCTCCTTGGCACCTCCCAAAGACTGGACTCCTTATTCAACCTCCTCTCTGCTCCCAGCTCCAATATAAACATGCGGACAAGCTGACTGCAAGCCCTGTACAGAGGATTAGGATGGGCGGGAGGTAGGTACTAGGCATCACACTCACCTACCTACAGACTGGGACGGGGGGCACAGGAGGGATGGCAGACAGTCTCTCCCTCACATCTGTCTCTCTCACTTACCCCCCTCATCGCCCCTCTCTCATCCTCCCCTCTTTCTTTCTCAATCCCCCTCTCTCTCCCACCCACTGTCTGCCATTCCCCTCTCTCTCCACCCTCTCACCCTCTGCTCTCCACCCTCTCACCCTCTGCTCTCACCTCACTCCTTCTTTCTCATCCCCTCTTTATCTCTCTCTCTTCCCCCCATCTCACCCCTCTCTCTCTTTCTCATTCTCCCTCTCTGTCACCTCCCACTCCCCCTCTCTCTATCTCCCTCTCCCTCCCACCTCTCTCTTACA